ACACACACACACACACACACACACACACACACACACACACACACACACACACACACACACGCGCCCGCCACACACACGCGCCCGCCGCGCACACACACACACACACACACACACACACACACACACACACACACACACACACACACACACACACACACACACACACACACACACACACACACACACACACACACACACACACACACACACACACGCCCCCACCACACACACGCCCCCACCGCACACACACACACACACCCCACCCACACACACACACACACACGCCCCCACCGCACACGCCCCCCCCACACACGCCCCCACCACACACACGCGCAAACCCGCAGTGAGTTCACCGCCTGGTGGTGGGGGGGTGGGTGGGACTAGGTTTGGGCGCCGTACACGCGGCTCGTCGAGTTCTCGATGCTGCTCTCCGTCCCTTCCATCCTCCTCTTCATGTGGTCCTTCGTCGCGCTGAGGATGAAGCAGCCGGAGTCGCTGCGCGCGCGGCCCTTCCGCATTCCGGGCGGGCTCTATAATTAATAATTATTATTAGTAATTAATGTCATTATTACCAAGAGTATGGCCCTTCCGCACACCAGGCGGGCTCTATATTACTAGCCGCTTCTTAGTAATCAATGTCATTATTACCAAGAGTATGGCCCTTCCACCAGGCGGGCTACCGACGGCGGTCCTCATCACGGTCGTGCCGATCGCGATCTCGATCTCGTACGCCGTGATCGTCGCGGCGGAGTCGTTTGTGCCGGAGCCGGGTTCCGCTGCCCGCCGTTTGGTATCACACGCCGTCTCACATGGAAGAGTCTCGAGTCGGCGACGCCGCCGCGGCCCCGGGGGGCGACGACAAGCTCCGACGGGGCCTCCGCGCGCTGCAGGAGGTCGGGCCGGCCCGGGGGGAGACGGTAGAGGAGTGGGCGCAGCGCATCGGCGCGAACTGCGGATGGGAGGAGCGGCGCTCGGCGCCGCTCGTCGCCGAACTCTCGCGCCTCACCG